TGCCACTTTTTAGGATAACCGAAATTTTGACCCATTCATTTGGCAGCCAAGATACCTGAAACTTCATTTGGCTTAGAAAAGAATGTGATCATTAAGAATATTCGCTGTCGTTGTGATACTACTGATGTTGCAATGAGCATCCTACTTGGGCTCAAAAAAGAATTTTTTGCCTCACTATTGCTAAATAATTAATCTTAAAGTTTCAGCTCTTCACAATTATTTTTAGTTTTGTGTAAAATGAATTAGACTTAGGATAGTTATTGACACTGTTCTCTTTTCCTGGGAAAAAGAGTAAAGGGTGGAAATCTTCTCTCCCGCATACGTATTAACGATATTTAGTGCTAATGGTCAAAAGTACTCTCTTGAACTGTGATTCACAAAAATAGGTTTTTCGAATTCATTCTCATCTTTTGGTCTGTTTAACAAGTGGCATATGTAGAAGCTGCCAGTGTATGTAGTCCAAAAAAAGTATTTAGTTCTTCGCGATGTTTTTACTTTTCAAGCATGTACTTGTTCTTGCATCCAGTTTGCCGAAATGTATATTATAGGAGGATTATTCTTATTATATTTACTACAGAAATAGCTAGTTAAGAGAACTGACGTTATAAACGCTCAGAATGCCATATCTTTTGCGAATCTTGGTTCATCTTTGAAGATAACCTCATTACTGTATACAGTGTATTTCTTGCATCCTCTTTCATAGGAGGTAGAACTTCGTAGGCCAAAGGGTATAACGACAGATCTTGAGCAATCTTATGCATCTGAACTCGGCTCTGGTTCTCTCTTGGCCGGCAGTGATGAGAAAAACTTTCCAGCTCTTTCTGAACATCATAGACAGCCCTCATTGTATTCAGCCAAGCCAAGAAGTCAAGACTTTCATGGGACCCAGGTTGAGGCGGACGTGGATTCGGATTCAGAGAATGCCCTGAAGCAGGACACTTTGGAGCAGAGCAGCTTGACGCAAAGTGGCTCAAATCGTCCACTTTTCATGATACTGGGTACTTTGGCCGGAGTACTTATGATAATCGCATTCGGTTTGATTTCAGCATGCATCTGGTATCACCTACGGGATCCGCGCTACAAACGGCAAGGTTAGTTGTACATATGTTGATTTAGAATGATTTTAGTTAGAACTCTTAATTTCAAATAAATAGTTTTCTGTTACTTTTTTATTAATTTCTGGTATAGCTGACTGGTCGTGTTTATAAATGGAGAAAAGTGAACCTTGCGATTTAGTCTTGTCTTTCTAACTTTGTTATTAGCTATTCTTTTGGGATTATACAAAACCATGCAATCATCGGTACAGGAAACAAGGAAAAATGGGAGAATTTGGTCGATAATATTCTACCCTTTTGGGCTAATTACCAGTTGTATTTAGGTAGCAAGAAATAGGATTGGCTATTCGTTT